GGGTTGTTGCATTCATCCAATTCCCTATTTGTCAGCGAAAGAAAAGTCAATGAACACAACAGCTATCTCCACCGCTGTTCCTACTGCATCATCACCATCAGCTACATCTCTTCTGAGTGGTCCATCACTTTATGGCACTGCACCTGTGGTCCCAAAGGTATCGCCCTGTTCACTTGGCTCGGCTTCCGCTGTGCCTGTCAAGAGTGAAGGCCAGTCGTCTACTTCTACCATACCCGTCCCCATTGGTCCACCAAGCTCCACACTTGACAAAGAGCTTCCAAGGAAAGCTCCGGGATACAGATCTCCTAGCGCACAGGCCTCCTCTGGTGGGTATTGTTCAATTCTGTTGCAGGAATCCTGTACAATTTTTAATTTGTTAGCAGTTTTTCGCCATCAAGAAATCTTATTTTCAATTCTATCTTCGACTCTGAATATTAAGGATGATAGGCTATTCTAAATCAAAATCACCATCTAAATCTTTGAAAAAAACATGTTGCGGGAGGATATTAAATTTTTTCTATCTTCTGTTTCTGTCTCTCAAATGACAATTAATATTTTTGACACGAAAGAGAGTAGGAGTTAGCTTTGTTAAGCTTCAACGCCTATACTCGATATTATCTTAGTTGTCGAAGTGTTAACCATATTTTGGTATTAGGGATTAACAGACTTCTCTGTGTGAGGAAACATCGAAAGAAATTTCCCGTGTTATTGAGTCACTGTAAAATTTCTGTTAGTTATGAGTTATGAAGAATGGATTTGCAAAGTCATCACCTTCGTTTCAAACGCTATTAGTGAGAACACAGTAATAATAAATTTTTTTCTGAAATATTGTGGCGTAATCTCTCCCTTCTCATCTATTTAGCTGGCGGTTCGTCAATTTTCGCTGAGCAGGCTGTATCCTCCGTGCCGTCTTCAGTTTCATCCACACCACCTCCTTCTGTCACATCTGTTGGAGCAGACCCTTCTCGTTGCACGATGGGATCACCACCTGCTCCGATTGCTCCGCCTCCAGGATTTACATCGCTTGTTTCGGAAGTTGGAAAATGTAAGTATTTCTAGTATTTAGTTGTTTCCGTTTATCTCTTGAGGCCTGGACATATCGTCTGCCATCTTGGCGATGTCCATGCGTTTTTTTTATTAACAAATCCATTCGAAATTCAGCTGTTACTGCCAAATCAGCATTGAACTCTTTGTCTTCTCATTCGGTGGAATCACCAGCAGTGGAGATCGCTTCTTCTCCATTGACCGCCTCTTCATTGCCATTAGGAAAGCTCCCGTGCGCTGATTCTCTCACTCCTACAGGAACTAGTAATGACCTTTCTTCTATGCAATTTCTTGATGAAAGTACACGAGCTAAACTTGCGGAAGTGAGTTAAGGGAAGAGTCGGCCATACTACCCGTTATTTGCTTTTTTTCCGTCAGTTCCATCGTTATTCAAAAAGGAAAAACCTTATTCATCTGAGGCACGGTCGAAAGCGCGGAATCGGCGGAAAAAGAACCGACAGCGTAGTATGGCTGAACTTTTCGCTGCAGTTGGGTTAAGTGTTGATTCGCATAATAATTTAGATTTGGGGAACAGGTAAACAAGATCTCTCATCACAGGAGCAAGCTTGGGGAAATCAGGTGCTGTTAAACAACTTCCCCAACCTTAGCATTGGCAGTTCGGTACGTTCCATTATACACTTCACCGTTTTCGCTCATATGATCGATCTGTTTACTTAACCGTGCGGTGCTTACTTCTTTAGTTAATTGACCATTTTTT